CTGTGGGTAAGTGCACAAATTCATCTCAAATTGCACTTGCAAATTTGTCCAACATGGCGCTGCCCACACAATGAAAAAAAGGCTCACAAGATCTTTTCATTCGACCCAGTTTCTCCAACTCTTTCTTCTACCACAGGTTCATCCCACCTACCTGCACTTAATTTTTAGTGTGGATTTGTATTTATTATTCAATTGATGCTAGTAAGACAAAACGTACACAGCCTGTATCAGCCAGTGCTCACTAGAGAAACAGATTTAATGCAAGATATACAAACATATGAGAGTTTGTAAGACTGGCTGAAGATGGCTTTCCAGAGCCAGGTGTGGAGGAGTGCAAAAGGGCTGTCGTATGCTGGGGACCCGAAGGGTCCAGTTGAAGGCCCGGAGCTCGCTGCAGTGTCTCGTGCAAATCTGTATCAGGAGGCCAATGGGTCTATGTGGGAAGGCTAAAGAGCTTGTGCTCGGAGCCAGGAGACGACATCCAAGGTGAAGGTGAAGGTGAAGACCAAAAAATTGTTAGGATCCTACATATATACAGTGCAATTATTTTGTGCTTGTTCCTGTCCCTGTTCCTGGTGCTCTTCCGAATACGCGGAAGCCAGCCTTTCTGCTTGGTTTCCCTGTTATACCAAGCAATCTTCCCTGGACTGGGTGTATACGTTTACATAGTTATATATAAACTAAGCCAAAGAGTGGATGGAGCCGAAATTCTTTTCTTGGCATGCTTTCTTCTGCAGTGAATAACTGGTTTGCTTTTTCACAAACTTGGTTTTCTGAGTCTGTCAGTAAATAGTCCCAAATCTTCAGAAGGAATGTTCACCCAAAACTTTGTGTAATCAAAGGGTAGGCAAGCAAACACTTCAACCCTCTTTAGCCCACTTTCCGGCATGACACATCTCCTAGAACGGTGGAATGGCTGGTCTGTTGACATGCCTCGTAGCTGTCACCACGGAATACTCCTTTAGCAGTTCTCTAGGATTCGCCTCAGCACTCAGCCATCTATGGTGGTCCGCATGCCAGCCAAGTTGCCCCAGCAGCCAAGCATCAGATGACAGCTGTCTTTTTAAAACTAAAACCTCAGTATTTAAATTTAATTGCAGCATTGGTACTTTGGAATAAATAAGTGGGTTTTCAGTCTCTAAAATGTTCACCATTACTGTTCTAGTTCTGATTATCTCTTTCTTACATTACTCCTTTGTTTCACTGGAGCATATGCTTAAGTAGCTTCCTGAGAACATAGGGCAAGGAAGAAAAAATTGTTAGGATCCTGCATATCTACAATGCAATTATTTTGTGCTTGTTCCTGGCCTTAAGTATTATATGACTGACCATAAAATTCTAGGTTGTAAATAATTCTCTTCTTTAAAAATTATTTAGGCATTGCCCCCCCCTCCTATCTTATTAACGCTGCCACTGAGAAACCCAACACCAAGTATATATGATCAGCATTTTCCCTCTCAAAGCTCTTACAGCTTTTCTTCATCCAGGGTGGTTTGAAATTTTATATTTAGACTTCTTGATATGTGCTTAATGTTTTTCACTTCATAAATTAGGCAGTCAAAGGGTGGGATCTTCTCATCTAAAACCTAACATCCTTCAGTTCTGTGAAATTTTCTTGTGTCATTTGTTTGTTGATTTTCTCCTGTTTTTTTTTTCTGTTCTCTCTGATAACACTGTTAGTGGATATTGAACTGAGTTGATCTAATTCCTATTTGATCTTTCCTCTTGTTTTTCATCTTGTTTTTCCTATTTTTCAAAAGATTTCCTCAATGTTACCAACTTCTATTGAATTATTTATTTCTACCTAATGTTTAACTTCCAAGATTTATTTTTTATTCTGTTTATTAGCCACATAGCTATTTGTTCTAGCTTTGTGAACAGAAGCCAATTATAGTTGTAAAGTCTGTAGTTTCCATTTCCTCTGTGGTTACTGCTGTTGCAAGGTACTTTATAGCAGGCTTCGCTGAATGGTCTAAGGCCCCAGTCTGTCCTTTCTGATTTCAAGACAATTTTATGTCGAAGGATGGAGTTTTATAAGAGGCACCCACATTGATAGGAAATGAGCAGAACCCAGTCATCTTGGGGGTACTCCTGTTGGATCTGTGATGTTTTCTTTAAACTGTTTTCCTTCAAGAAGAGTTCCCACTCTTGCCTACAGGGATTGAGAGCGTGAGCAGTAAGGAGGCCAGAAGAGTCCCCTCAAGGTCTGCAGATTCATTTTTCTCCATCTTAAGCTCTGCTATGAACTACAGCCCCGAGTCCAGCAGGGAGAAAACCTCCCAACACTGTCCTGGGGGAGTGGGGCCGTTTAGGCATGCAAAGTTGAAAAACAAAGACCTAACTATAACCCTTCCATTGAAATGTACCTCCAGCCATTAGGAGCTCCGGGCATGCGCAGTTCCTGTATCCCTGGGGCTCTGACTGAGCCGCTTTCTTCTGCTCCAGCTGCCTCTGCTTATCCCAGGCAGATTAGGTCTCAGTTTCCTAGCCTTACATGCATCTGTTCTCTTTCCATTTTACCATATTTTGTAGGTGTTTCTTCCCTACGGTCATCACTTAATCTGTTTAATCTACTCTTATGGGTGGCCACTCTCTTTATTCCTTTTCTGTCATTTCAGTTCTTGTAGAGGAAACCGCATAGAAGTGTTAAATTTGCATCATCATGTTATAGCACAAAGCAATTCTGAGCAAAGCATCCCTCCTGAGCACGCCAACCCAAGTGCATTCTTGGGGCTCCCCTGCCTGGTTCACCCTTTTCCCTCTCTTCTGGTTCCCAACCCTCAGCTGTCCACCGGGATTTAGCTCAGGCATCCTCTCAAGCAGGAAACCCTCAGACCATCCCTCCACATGCAGTGTGCATTTGTTGCCTGGCACACATCACATCCATCACCTTGTGCCAAATGGATCAGTTTCATGTCTGTCTCCTTCCCCAAGTGAGAAGTAGGCTAGGGCGGTACCTCGCTCACTGTTCAAAGTCTCTTATTGTGGGAAAAACACCCAACACACAAGAGATGCTCATCAATATTTGTTCAACTGTCCCATTTCTCAGTAAGTTGCATGGTGGAGACATATTCATTTGCACAGGAGAGCAAAAAAAATAATATGGCCTTGTTTATTTGCCAACATTTAAATAAGAAAGGCTAATCACAGAGCACCAGGAAATGAAAACAGCCAGATGTTTTTGAAAGCTCAAGTCCAAGAATACAAAATAGCTTGCAACGGGGGTGATGGATATTTTCCTAGTGATCCAAAATGAATGTATGCTTATTAGGTGGAGAGGGAGATTTAACAGGTTTCTCAACTAATGCTGCAATTTTAAATCCATTTAAGATAATTTTTGTTATCTTGAATTTATTTTTCTCAGTAACCAGGATACTTAACAGATTTGCACAAAATCTATTTGAAGAAGAAATAATCTACTCCAAGCAAGGGCACACTCTAAATGGGAAAACAGTGACACTACAAGTCTAACAGAAAAGAGAGAATCTCTTTGAGAATCCAAGGTTGGGTTCTATCTAGAAAATAGAGACTCTCTGTCCAGCATCTAGACTCCACATTCAGCCTCCTTTCTTTACTTCAAATACAGAAAATAATTCCTAAATGTAAGAATACAAAACAAAGACCTCCTGTGAGCCAACCAAGACACAGTCAAATGTTTTTAAAAGGAAAGAATTTCAAACAACAAAAGTATAAACTGAAACTATTACAGGCAGCTAAGTTAGACAGAAATATTACAGGCAGTCAGACAGGGCTGAGCCCTGGAGAATCAGTCCAAAGACAAAAACTCATTAGAACTGTGGCTGGAGGCACATCTGTTAGAAGCCAGACCTCAAGATAAAGACCTACATGCCACCCCAATGGATAAGTGGTAACATTTGGTCTAATGAAGTCTAAACATCAGTCACCTCGGTGGGTGACCAAGAACCTTGGACTCATCCCTTGTTGAAAAGTTCTTGGTTCTCTCCATGAACACTTGCTATGTGACTTCCCCACTGGATCAGTATTACCTAAGTGACTATACTTAGAATCTTATTGGGTGATCACAGCTGTAACTCATGTTGTAGCCCCGTAGTTGTGCTCTATTTAATTTCCCGTGAAAAGTGGGGTCTTCAGCAACCCACTCAGGACCCCTCTAGCCTCTGAGGAGCTGCATCCCTCAAGAAATATTTCCTAATCTTAACCTCCTTTGTTCCTTAGAATTCATTCTTTGATTCGGGGAAACATGAATGCAGTGTATCAGATATCTAGCAGGTTGGGAGTTATATTTCTCTGGTACCATTAGGAGTTCCTATGTCATCTTCTCTATCAAAACAGTAACAGAATATACCTTTCTTACCCATCAACTTTCAAAAGCATACCCAGTATTGAATCTAGTAAAATTCTAATAGTAATATGTTTCTATAAGTTTTTGAAAAAAATTATATAGTATGTCCCTAGAGCCTGTAAAAATATTCTTAAAATTGTGACACAAGGATTATACCTTTAGAACTGTGGATTAAGAAAATAAATATCAAATCAATACACATAAAGATCTGAATGAGAAAAGGTATTGATTAATGTTATATGTAACAATGAAAAATTGAAAGTAACTGAAATTTCCAATAGTGGAAATAATGATCATAATTAATAACATAAAAATCTTTATGATATGTCACATAAAATGATATAATGTCACATAAAAAAACATAAAAGCAATATATCATAGGCTCATAATCTGAATAAAACGACTCAATAGACTAAAACTTTAATAGCTGTCATGTTAGGTAATACAATTATGGTGATTATTTAAATGTAAACTTGATGTTGTACTGAGAACTTTTCTGTATGTTTCTGGATTGCTGTGACCACAATTTAACTTATTTATTTATAGGGTTTATATTTCATAAACAACAGCTCCTGGCTGATTTTTTATGGGATGTATCTTCCCCACATTAGCTACAAATGAGCAAATATCACAGATTCAGAGGGAAACACATCCCAGTGACTAAACCAGAACTTACTTGGTGGGACGATAATCCGGAATGGAACGATCCAGTGAAATCTTTTCACTGAGGTAGGAGTTGTAGCCATACTTCTCATGGGGTCCCTTTGCCTTTTCTTCTTCCGCTGGGGAGAGGGTAGCAGGAAGACCCCCTCTGCCCCGTCCACCGTAACCTTCAATGAGCCCAAGGGACTTGGATAAACCTAGAAAAGGGGAGGAAAAAGGATTGTTTGAGAAGTATCATATCAGGATGTGGCACTCAGACTCAGACAGTTACAGAACTCAGAAAGTCATCTGTCACAGAAAAACTGTCCTCAATTTCCTGGCCCCAGGTATGGACCTGAAAAATAATTTTATGGAGAGCAAAGTCAAGGCAGCCAGAGTCGCAGGGTTAAAGGCTGGCTGCCTGCCAGACAGGGTCCTCTTCGGCCTTTGGGAACTGAGTTGTAACAGATGCCAATAAACAGGAGGGACTAAGTGGCGTGGGGAACAAGAAGGCCAAGAGAGACACACGAAACGGGTCACACTGAGACCATTTTTCATGCCTAGTTTCCTCCTCCATGGGATAATCACAATGAAGTTGGGACTGCCAGAAAAACCAGGGCACATCCCAGAGTCATAGTAGCAAGTGACAGGTAACTGTCAAATGGAAGTCACTTCTTTTCACTTAAACAGAGAATAAGGTTGCAGACTGATTTTACCACGAGTTTAAAGCACATAACAGTCTGCAATGGGCTCTTCACCTAATGGTTTTATTTAAATTTCATCTAAATGGCAAAAGGAAACATGAAATGTTAGAGAATAAATCACAAAAGAAAAAACCTTTAAGACTGGTAACCATTAGTAAAGCAAGCGGCTCTGTAACAAGCCTCCCAGAGCAATTCAAGCTCCCAGAATGGCAACAGCTTTACACCTACTGTTCCATTAGATGATAAACAACTTGATGGGCAATTTTAAAATCCTACAGTTAAGGGAATTTCACTACTTAGCCAGGAAAAGTTGACTGTTACGGCTTTCATTCCCTTTAGCCGTGTCAAATGCTCCAGCTACTCAGTACACACACACACACACACACACACACACAGGGGACAGCTGATGTTTGTCCAGTACCCAGCATTTCCTCAACACCGCTGGCAGGATGAATATGGACCAGAGATGCAAACAGAGGCTTCAATGGTGGGCCCTCTACAGAGCAGAGGACGACCCAGACCGCCCAAGAAGGCATCCCTAGGGAAGCTAAAAGCCAGCCCACCTGCTCAGGTCATGCTTCCCCATCACACAGTGGCAAGGCTTGTCTGCCTGAAATCAGAAATAGATTTTCTGGAATGTCAAGATCAAAAGCAAAGGTTAGGCAAGCGGGTCGAAGTAGATCTTAGATGAACATCCTGCTTCTGTTCTTCACAAATCCTAACCTTTTCTCCATGCCCTCCCTTTTCTCCCTCCTAGCAGTGAAGAATTACATTGCCCAGCATTTCTTAGCTGGTTCTTTGTCTTTATTTTAATTTTTGGCAGCAGTGGGTCCAAGGCTCCACTCTGAACTATATCCCCAGCCCTTTTTATGCTTTATATCGAAACAAGAGTTCCACTAAGTCACTAAATTGTCCAGGTTGGGCTCAAATTTATAGTCTTTCTGCCTCAATTTCCCAGAGAGCTGGGACTATGGGATTGCACTGCCTTATCTGACTTGATTTCTTGACTTTAATATCACATTCTACATCAACATACAACAAATACTCCAATAATGTACTCTCCATCTGGCTCAAAACACTTCCTATACCAAGTACAAATGCCTGTGCTTGGTTTTAAAAGGCACTTACTAACAGCAATGTGAAATGGACCAGCTACTTGGAAAAGGGGTTGGCAGTTCTTCAATTTGCCAAACATAATCCCCATGTGACCCAGCTATTCCATTCCTAGGTATACATCCAAGCAACAAAATGTGTCCACACAGCAAACTTGCACACAAATGTTCATAGCAATCTTATTTGTATTCGTGAAATGCCCATCAAGCAGTGAATGGAGAAGCCAAGTATAATATATCGTTCCGATGGGATATTTAGGAGTAGCAAAGATGAAACATGGATTCACACTACAACCTGGATGAATTTCAAGAACACAGTCAGGTAAACAAAGCTGATCACAAAAGACTACATGGTCTGTGATTTGGTTTCTATGCAATATACAAACTACATCAATCTATAAGGCCAGTAAATAGAGTATTTGTTCCTTAGGATTAACAGGACCTGGGGAAGAAGTGCGAAGTGATGGTTAATGTACCTAGGTTTCCTTCTGGGGATCAGGAAATGTTTTAGAGTTAGAGTGTGATGACAGATACCCAACTTTGGGCATATACCAAAACCCACTAAAGTGTATATTTTTAAGTAGATGCATGATGCTGGATATATAAAATCCTCAATGAAGTTATTTTAAAAATTCTCTGTGATAGACAATTCCATTTTTAGCAAGATAAGGAGTTAACTAGCATAGAAACTTTCCACTCTATCACAGAAATGTTTGTTAAAATAATTATAAATTTTTCTAAAATGCAAAGCTGAGCTTGTGGGAAAGGGAAACAGACCCTCAGAGATAACCTAATGCTGGAACTGAAACCATAACTGCTGAGAGAAAAGGAGGTTGGGATTGCCCATTAACTAACAGTTGAGTTTAAGAGCTCAGGCATGCATGGAGTAAGGAACTTCAGGTTCTCTAGAGAAATAAAACTGAAATTGAAACATCTGTAAAAATGTAGACCCCTGCCTACAACCTAGTACTCTGAGAGGCTGAGGCAGGAGAATGGCAAGTTCAAGCTCAGCCTGGGCAATTAGGTGACTTAGTGAAACCTGTTTCAAAATTGTATAAAGGCCACGGCTGTAGCTCAGCAGGAAGGCACAGGGTTCAGTCCCTAGTGCATTCAGGTACACACACACACACACACACAAATGGATTTCAGATTCCTATGCTCCAGAGCTGTGAGAGGATAGATTTCTGGGCGTTTTTCTTTGCTCTGTCTGTGTGTATATGTGTGTGTGGTACAGGGAATCAAACCCCCAATACTCACTAGGTAGGCACTTGTGCCGCTGAGCTAAATCCTTGGCTCCCAGATTTCTGTTGTTTTAAGCCACCAAGTTCATAGTAATTTATATGGAGCTACAGAAAACTAAAACAATGAATATTAAAAAAATACTGAATGGAAACAGATAAAGAAAATATATAAAGGCAAATACTAACCCTAACCATAAATGGGATAGCTATACTAACATTTGATAATTAAACTTTAGGGCAAATGGCTTTAAAGGAATAATAAGATCATTGCAAAATGCTAAAAGTAACAATTCAGCAGGAAGCTTTAAGGAATTATAAACTACCATGTGCTTAACAACATAGCTTCAAAATATATGCTGAAAAAAATAGAACACAAGGAAAAATCAACAAATATACAATGATAGTGAGAAATACTAACTCATCACTTGGCATGCAACAGATTAGAAGGATAGAAATTTAGTGACAACAAAAAGAAACTGAACAAAATCAAGCAGTCTTCCAAGAAGTACACATTCCCCTGAAGGAACACTGGAACAATTGGCAGACCACAGAGAAAAACCTCAGCCTACCCTACAGACCATCTTCTCCGAGTACAAAGCAATACAATGCCCAAAGATTAATAACAAAAAGGCACAAAGTTAAAAAAAAATTCTATGCTGGGCATGGTAGTGCGTATCTGCAATCCCAGCATGCTAGGAGGCTGAGCAGGAAGATCACAAGGTGGAGCCAGCCTGCGCAGCTTAGTGACTTACCAAGACATTTCACCAAGTGAGACATGAAAAGGGGCAGAGGAAGTAGCTCAGTGTAAAGGCCATGGTTTAATCCTTAATATTGCCAAATAATAATAATAATAATAATAATAATCTGTTAAAAATAGAGGAAGTGGATAGGACGTGAAATAGTAAATCTCAAAAAATGTAGGGCAGTGCCAAAACACTAACACAACAGTTAAAAAAAAAACCATATGACTTCAGAGATATATTATGGTGAGGCAAAAGCAACTTCCAGTTAATGAAGCGAATGTCTAATCCAAGGAATTAAATAAAAAGACAAAGGACTGGAAATTTAGCTCAGTAGTAGAACACTTATCTAGCAAGCTGGAGAGGGGAAGAGAGACAATAAAATCCAAGGAACAATAATTAACAAAAGAAAAAACATGAGTGACACATACATAACCAAAAGAAAGCAAGGAGAAAAAGAAGAGGAAGGGTAAGGGGGAGATCTTAGCAGGAATTGTGAGGCACCTCCAGCAAGCCTGGAGAGGGAAGCTCACGTTCCTTCAGGAAAGACAGGTGTACCTGTCACGGTAGGTACACTGTCCACAGCTGAGGGTTTTTTTAGGGACCCAGAAAAATGTCTAAATTTCTTTTAAATTGGAACACATAGCCATAAAATTTAATGTATTAGTTTTTTTCTTTTTTTCTTTTTCTTTTTTTTAAGAGACAGAGGAAAGATCCCGGGAAGGCACAAACACCTGGCAAGCACAAAAATCTTACTGGGACCTTGGCTCCCTTGAGTTTAGATTTTAACTGTAAGTGGCCAGGAAGCGCAGAGAAGAGAGGTAACAAAATCCTATATGTGGTTGGTGAATTTCCTCCAGATGGCACAGGCACAAGGACAGACCCTAGACAGCAACAGTAATTGCCACTGCACTTATTGAGCACATACTGTGTGCTGGAAACAAAGCACAGTGCTTCACATATACCTCAGCACGTTTCATGCACACCTCTGAGACGGTTCTTAGGATTTCCATTTTATAAATGGGGATGAAAATGAAAGTGCGGGCACTCTGGTTTTGCTCTGTTTTGTTGCACTAGGAATTGAACCCAAGGCCTTTGCACTGAGCTATAACCCTAGTCTTTTTTTTTTTTTTTTCTTTTTTCTTTTACACAAGCTCAAGGAACTGAGATTGAGGCACAGAGAAGCCTACTAATAACAAGCGGTGACCCATCCCATTGTCTTTATAACTATCTCCTCAATCTTCACCCACTGATTACTGTTTCGGCTTTAAACTTTAAGAAATGCTTCTGTAACTATTTCTGTACTAGATGAGCAGAACAGCCATTACCTTGATCACTTGAGAGCTGAAGACGTGGAAGCTCAGAGGAATTCACTGGTGGGCCATCCAAAAGTGAAAGAGGCAGAACAGGATTCTCTTCTC